CTCCAAAACAGAGGTTCTCAAACTGTGATCCCAGGACCCCCAGGGCTCCGTGAGCTGCATCTTGGGGGGTTCTCAAAAAATTTCAATAAATTGTTAATTTGGTTTTGATTTAAAAATATGCATATGGGTAACAATGCAAAAAAACAAACAATAAGCAAACAAAAAATACAATTTCTATGGAATTCAGAGGTTAAAATGACAGTAAATGATTTTTAAAACAGCATGGGGTTTATGAGGGAGTCCCTGGAAWTTTTTCACCCTTGCAAGGGGTCCTCAGACTCAAAGTTTGAGAACATCTACCCTAAAGGTTTAAGGAAAAAATGTAAAAATGTGTTTTACTGGCCCACAACTTAATTTGCAGATACAGCTTTATCAAAATAATTGAGCCTTTGTTTAAATTAGGTTTTAGTCTTAACTTGAAAAGTTTCTCGTGATAAATTGACCATTCAGTTGCTGTAGACGAGTCTTCTAGATCATTAAGTGATTCTTTCATTGGTGGCACTTAAGAATTAATCTTACACTTAATTTAAAGTGAGACTGAGACGCTTGATAACTGACTTTTAGACTTTTAGAAGTTTGATGAATATGGGCCCTGAGCTGTATCACATCAGCAAATATGAAACCTGACAAAAAGGCAAAAACAACTCCTCCAAAGGCAGGAGGAGAGAAGTAAGCGGGTGTTCTGATGGATTTCATGTGATTGGACGGAACCAGAGGAGCCGGTGGGAACTTTGCTCCTCCTGCCAAGGCTTTGTTTTTTTACTGTTTTCACTTTCAAGACCGTTTAAGAAAAGTTCAGCATGAGCTGCTTTAGAGAAAGGGAATAGAAGAAAGCATTAGTGAATAAGGAAATTAAAAGTCAAAAGTCCAACTTGTCCACAAAAAGCATCCAGATGGAGTGACACGAAGGTGGCTGAGGTCAGAAAAGGCACAGCTTAAAGCAGTACATTCAATAAACACAGATGACGAATTATTGCAAGTGTAAAAAAACATGTCCCCCTTTTGCTCCTGATCTGCAGATTTGAAGTAAATCAGTTTAGTTTTTTGTGCRTTCTTCATATATAAAGCACCAGAGGTTTGCTGCTCTGACCTGCKGATCACCCTGCAGTCAAACAAACAGGAAGTTGCTGCTTTCCTGAGATTGTTTCATTTTGTCTTTGTGATGTTCTTCAAAAAATAAAATAAAATAAAATAAAAAAAACCTCCGCTGCAGCTGTTCCTCAACCAAAGCTCCAATGCAATAACTGTCAGCAAATGTTTGTTTCTACCACTAATCTTTATTTGAACACCAGCAGATGCCATGCATGTGTGCGGAGATCCACATGCAGAGTTGAAACTCCGGAGGCAAACGAGTGAAGACAAACAACTTCATCTGAACTAAATCTAAAGCAGCTGGGAGCTTCAGAGTACATGACCAGGTGTTGCATGACAGGGCTATAAAAAAACAGAAACCTCAGCACAAAGAAAGACAAATAAAACAAGAATCTGACAAAAGACGAGTTAAAACCTGCAACTGTGGTAAAGGAGATGAAAAGCAGCTGTGATCAAACTCGGGGGAGGGAGATAAACTGATATGAACCAGGAAATGAAACAAAAACTACTCAAGAAAAACCATTAAAAGCAGAATTGTAGCAACTCACTGACGGCTGTGGGAGAAGTTAATGGAGTTTTTTATTTCAACACAACTGGCTTCTGGGTTCATGGGACACAACTTAGTTATTTTTTGTGACATAGAGCTTAGAACAACTGCTAAAACCATTGATTTACATACAGTGAACTGTAACATGTATAAATAAAATAAAATTAGGTTGTGTTTTATTATTTTAAATCATTTAAAGGCTGAGCATTCCTGCTCATCATCTCAATTTATGTCAGAGTTTCAGATTAAGATTAATGTGATTAATGATGGAGTGTTCCTAAACTGGACTGACTCCAGAAGTTTTGATGATTACTTAAATCAAGAATTACTTTCTGAGTTTTATTGAAATCTGTCCAGTGGTTCAGGAGATATTTGGCTAACAAACACACCAGGTGGACTTTGATCTATTAGAGCTGAAGGTATAAATTCAGAATAAGTCTCAGCTTCAAACACACCAAATCCTGTTTTGATATCAGCACAACTGTCTGAATTGATGCTGGTTTGGTTTCTTGAGGTTGAYCAGCTGTGGTGGCCATCTTGGATTGATTCAACTCCTGTGGGTCAGATGTTTATTGTACAAACACAAACAGGCAAAATAACCCACTTTCATCCTTTTGGCAGCGCAATAGATAAGAAAGCAAGAAGATTTATTCTACTTTTGAATTATCAGTTTATTGTTAGCTCCTTTTAAAACTAACTTSAAGAATCTGTCATTAAATTGGCTAAAATTTTATGTTAATCTAATTTTTGTTGTTGTTGTTGCCTAGATGCCTTAATGAACTGTAACATTAAGTCTGATGTGTCAAATGCAAGAAATCYATCAAACCTGATGACTTAAAGCACAGTTCCATTTTTTATAAAATGTTTACCTCTGAAAGCTGCGCAGCGACCTGACAAAGTGCTCATGTTGCTGTTTAAACAGCGCAGAAGATGTTTTAGTTCATTTTGTGATTATCTCATTGAAAGGCAGCTGTTATGGATAGCTTCAAGGACAACCTAAAACAGTTAACATTTTTATTTTTTTCTAGAATAACCTTGTGRACTGTTGCCATTTTAAAACAAAGACACACAGCTACAATAAAAGTTTATTGGTCTTTAAAACACTTTCAATTCGCCATTTTTCTTTGCAAACAACTGAAGAATCTGATGTGAAAAAATGCAATCTATTGATTTTTTTAAGATTAGAGCTGCTTTTAAAACAGAGCCTCCTAGACTAAACATTACATTGTTCATCTGGTCAGARTTAAACTCTTTCTCCAAAATAAGGTCATTCAAACAAGCTGTCTACATTTTAATTGTTCACAATCGTTTTCCRAGAACCCCACTTCTAAACATCTGAACTGTTGTTGTAGTAAAAATACACCAGTCCTGCTCTTTTTTTTTTTCATTTTTATCAGCTAATTTACAGTAGAGCAGGGCTGTTAAACTCATTTTGACACAAGAGCGACCCTTTTCTTTTTGTCAAGCTTTTAATAAAAGTGTGAAAACACCAACACATCATCATCACCAGTCTTACAGCTAAATATATTTTTTCGAACTTCCGTTTTCAGACCAGCTGTTTTAATAATAGCCAAACTGAGAAAGAAGTGATGATCTGACTGGATAAAACCCAGTTTGGAGGCTCTGATTATGTGTGGAGAAATAATGAAAGAGCTGGTTTAAAACCTATTTATCCTTATTTAGCACTGTGCTGTCAACTCAAAGCTGCTAGATGTTGGTCRTAGTCCCAACAGGAGACTGATAAATACAGACCGTTCATGGTCAAAATGATCTGGGGTTCAACACTTGGGTAGAACACGGGGGCAGTGGTTTGGAGCTGTTGCTTCTCAATTTATTTCAGTTTATATGTATAGCTCCAACTCGTAACAAGTGCCGTCTCAAAGTACTGTACAAAAAAGAATCAGTCTAAGAAGCCAGCTGATTGCATTGAATAACTTCATAACAATCTGAGCTGCACATTGGTGACAGTGGAAAGGAAAAACTCCCTTTTAACAGGAATAAACCACCAACAGAAAGAACCAGGACAGCCAGCTCTTTGCCTCGACCTGTTTCTGTGGCAAACTTGTGACCTGTCCAGAGTTCCTTACACACAGCGTACATGTCAAGTTGTACAGATTGTCTGTAAATTACACTGATTTCCCCCCATTTTGCAAGTCTACGTGTGAGTACGGCAGAATTTTTGTGAAAATTATGGATTTTGTAGGGTCATGAGACAGGTATACGTCCAATGGGGTTGACTTGTGTGACTGCAGGGAGAGCCACCGGTTTCATCTATCTATCTATCTATCTATCTATCTATCTATCTATCTATCTATCTATCTATCTATCTATCTATCTAT